TATGGCATGCTAGAGATTTGATTCGCAAAATTAATTAACATACAACGTGCACTGAACCGTGCCTGCCGCGAAATGAAGGAAAAACGCTGGAATGTGTATTCTTTCCGCGGCGCCATTCTCAAGACGTCTCGTTCATTCGATATAACGTTACTTATGTTGCGTTTCACGCGAATAGAAAACATGCCAAACTTAACTCGGTGCGCGGCCTCAATAATTAAAAACTGTTGGAGCGCGCATATAACAAATACACCGAACTTCAAGCATAAATAGCAAATATTGTAATCTGGGAAAGATCGCGTTACAATGCTGCAACATGGAAATACGTGTCTCATTGTGTGTTTCCTTAAACACAAATAAAGACAGAGATCATTGTCAGACGATTATGCAGCATTAACATCTGAATTTTCTAAGATTATAGATCAGTTATTTTGTCCAATAAATACCTACTTCGCGTAGCAAAAGCCTTCTCAATCTTTATCGTCCTTTCGCAATTTCCCTAAATAACGCGCCATGTAGGGATGAATAAGCGGAATAAAAGACTCTTCAAGCTGAACCCCTCCAACGCTCGGAAGCAAAACTGTCTTTCTTCGTATATATCTCTCTATCCAGTAACGTCGCGTATTACATTAAACTCCGAGTATACTACAGAAAGTAGAGCGGTCCCTTTCGTTATTATTTGAATGCAGGATAATGATATTATTTCACATTTGCCCTTGATCACCGCCAAGCACGTATTTGCGTGGTCGAATGTGAAAGCAAACGACCACATGACGACTCAGTCATCCAACTTGGACGAGACAGATGCATTTCCCCCAATTAGTCTACTTGTAGAACAATTATGTTACAAAAAACAATATTACATGTATATGGACACAATACTACAACGAATAACAAAGTCGCAATGATTGCATCTTTGCTCGACTCTTACAAAATCATGTAACGTCATTTCAGACTTTATGACAAATACCTATGTAAATTTAGAATAATTCTCTATACAACAAATAAATTTATAAAATTTTTAATTTCCAAATTAAAAATTTCTAATTAAATTTCTAATTAAAATTTTTAATTAAATTTTCTAATAAATTTTCTGCTACAATACACTGAAGATTAAAAGTCAAAATTTTTAACACTTTTATTTCCTTGAGGAACAAAAGATGTTAATTAAATAATTTTCCTTAATTTATTTTTTAATTTATGTTTGAAAAGATGTTTGAGAAGAAAATGTGTTTCATGATTCTGAAATATACAAAATGTATATACAATTTACTCAAAGAGATAAATAGTAAATAATAATTTTTAATTGTACTATTAATTACTTTTAATTGTACTATTAATCGTTAATTTATTTAATCCATATCAATTAACTATTCAGTTATCCATTAGATTTATTTCAGTCTCGTCCAAATCACGACTTTAATCGCCATTCGATTATGCTTTGCATGCTGCACACACATAATTTTGATGTGTGA